CTCGCAGCTGAGTTCCCGGGCCGTCGCTGGCCGGCTTAGACGCCCGGGGTTTCGCCGCTCGGGACGGGCAGGCAAGGGCTGGAGTGCCGGGCGCGCCCTCGCAGAGTCCCTGCGCCGACACACGGTGGCCCTTGCTCCTCCCCGGCCGGCCCGCCGGGCTCCACTCTCCTCTCCCGGCTCCTCTACTTTCTCCTCCCCTTCTCTCCCCGCCCGGCAGCCACACGGTCAGTTTACGGCTAGGCGGGGCGGGGCGGGGCGAGCTCAGTGCCGGACCAGCTCCGCCCTGCGACGGGACCCGCCGAGATGCGGATATCCTGGGGCGCCCAGGTGGCATTCCCTTCCCATGCCTTGAGGGGCCTCTGGTTCGAAACTTCTGGATACGGAATTCCCTAGCCAGGTCTTAGCAGCCTGTCATTACGCGAGGCGGCAGGACGCGCTCCATTAACCAGCAGAGTTATTAAGCCAAAGACGATCGGTAGAATTCAGAAGGTAGAGCAGATGTCGAATGGATCTGCCTGGTCGTTTCCTTAAGCTCAGACCAGCCAGGACCTCGCCCAAGGTGGTTCGAAGGCGCCTCACGAGTGCAACCAATGAGGCGACTCTGGATGGCCAAGGGGCAGGTGAAGCCGCGCAGGCCTTGTGCTAAATGCTGTCTGTGCTTGTATTCACTCCTGGAATACTCCCGACGGACCTCCTCTTATTTAGATGACGAAATTGAGGCACAGAGGATTGACATGTCGGAGGACGTGACAGCTGAGCTGCCTTGCCCAGAAATGGAGACTGGTTTGAGCAAGGCAGCCTCTACTTCGCAGGTCAGAAACCTGCTGAAACCTGGAGGACAGGGTAGAAAATCATCCTAAGAACTTTGAATGTTCAGCTTTGTTTGAATCTCCCAAACTCTAGGCGGTACTAGCAGAAGTCAGTTTATGTTTGTAGTGTAGTGAGCCTGGGGCAAAGATGACACAAACTCCAAAATTCATCCTTTAAACTGTAGGCAATTATCATTATATTCCGTGTGTCCTCCTTTGTTCTGATGTAAAAGTCATTCTTGTTGCCAAACTTTTTTTTTTAATGGTGTTGCAGAAGTTCCTCGGGTTTATCTAGGGATTACCTGCCCCTCAGGGCAGAAGCCTGGAGCCGTTCTTAGCCCATCTGAGAGACAGTCATTATAAGTTTTGGGAACTGAACAAAGAGTTTGAACTGGGAGACATCTGTGCTGAGTGATGATTTTAAAAGATTTATCTGGCAGGAATGTGTGGGATGGGTTAGCTAGAAGAAGAATTGAGTCCTGGAAGCCAGCTAAATACTGCATTAAGTAGAATAGCATTCTTCAAAGCCAGCCTTGTAGTGTCAGATCTTCTGTGAACCCAAATTGGAAATTTCATATCTGTTGAAATACCCGACTTTGTCTCACACCCAGCACAGACCACCATTTACCTAAAGTGCACCTGGAAAGTGCAGTGATGCAACTTGCCCCAGCTCTCATTCTCACCAGCCGCCTCCTGCCTCCCCTGATGGCTCCCGGTCCCCTGCCTGCCTAGACCTGCCCCAAGCCACTGGAAGGCTGAGCAATCTGTGCTGCATTAAAGCTAGTTTGAAGATGCCTTTTCTAATTCTGAGTTTTTGCTTTGTGGTTTGTGCTCCACCCCATCCAAGAATCCTTCATCTAAGTGTTCACGGATAAATGAATAAATAAAATGTCATATACATAAAATAAACTATTATTTGGCCTTAAAAGGAAATGGAATTCTGATACTTGCTGCAACTTGGTTGAATCCCGAAAACATGCTATGTGACATAAATTAGATCTGAAAAGACAAATATTGTATGATTTGTAAAAAAGATTTGCTGTTATATATATATATGTGACATGGGGGGCGGGGGAGCACCTGAGTTCAGGTGCTGGTGGAAGCCAGTGGCATTGGATCCCCCAGAAGCTGGAATTACAAGCAGTTGTGAATGGTGGATGTGGGTGCTGGGTGCTGGGAATTGAACTTGGGTCCTCTGGAAGAACAGTGTGTGCTCTTAACCACACACATAAGCCAGAGTCTCATGTAGCTCAGGCTGGTCTTGATCTTTCAGTGTAGCAAGGAGGATGTTCTTAAATTCTTGATCTTCTAACCTCTACCACCAGAGTGCTAAGATTACAGGTTTATGCCATCACCCAGAGGATTTCACTTATAAAAATGTCTAGAGTAGACAAATTGATAGAGACAGAAAGATCAGAGGTTACCAAAGGCTGGTGGAGGGAGAGAATGGGTAGTTATTCATGAATACAGTTTCAATTTGGGATAATGGAAAAGTTCTAGAAAGGGGTAGTAGTAATGGTTGCACAGTATAATGAATGTACCTAGTGTCACAAAATGGTATGCTTAAAATGAGGCTGGGTGTGGGGATTACACGCCTTTAATCCCAGCACTTGGGAGGCAGAGGCAGGTGGGGGTCTCTGTGAATTCAAAGCCAGCCTGGGCTACATAGTGAGTTCCAGGATAGCTGGGGCTACAGGGAGACCCTGTCTCAAAAAGAACAACAACAAAAAAGGCTAAAATGATAAATTTTACATCATGTATCTTTACCATTAAAAGAACACATAGTGAGACTGGGGGTAGCTCAGTGGTAGAGCACTTGTCCAGCATCCTCCAGGCCCTAGGTCCAATCTCCAGCACTAACCAGTCAACAAACCCAAAGAACACATAGATCTGGGTATAATTTCTTAGCATGTGGGAAGCTCTGGGTTCCATTCCCTGCACACAAAAACAATTTTTAAAAAATGTTAAAAATCAGGTTAATTAAAACTTTCCTATCTCACAACTCAGGTCTATATGAGTGATAATTAATCTTCATTTCAACTTAACTGTGTTTGGAATCACCATGGACACACATCCCTGGTTGTTCTGTGAGGGCATTTCCAGAAAGGTTTAACTGACAAGCAAAGACCCACCTGGTTGAGGGTGGCACAATCCCATTGGCTGGGGTCCTGGACTGAATGAAAAAGGAGAAAGCAAGCTGAGCACCAGCATTCATCTCTGCTTTCTGTTCCACTAAGCTGTGAGGAGTGGAGGAATCCCATCACCTCCATGGCGGACTATATCCCCTCAAACTACAAGCCAAAGCAAACCCTTCCTTGAGTTGCTTCCACCAGGTAGTTTGTCATAACAGTGGCAAAAGTAACTAGTACAACATACTAACTCAGAGTGAGTTTTCATGTTGTGCAATTCAATTCAATTTATAATCCAGGTCAAAAAATATTCTGAAACTGGTTCAGTGGTTAAGAGTGCTTCCTAAAGTCAGGCATAGTGGCACATACCTTTAATACCTTTAGTCCCAGGAGGCGAAGGAAAGTGGATCTCTGTAAGACCAAGGCCAGCCTGGTCTACATAATTGAGTTTCAGGCCAGCTGGGGCTACAGAGAACCTGAGGTCAGTTCCTAGCACCCATGTCTCGAGCTCCAGGAGATCTGATGCCCTCTTCTGGCCTCCGTGGGCACCCGTACATGTATGACAGTGGCATCCTATTGAAAATAATCCATTACCTGAATTGGCAGGTAGTAGAACCTCAGTAATCCTTTGTTTGTTTGTTTGTCACTTTTAGGCTAAGCATGTATGCAGTAGTTATGCCAAATGTTAGGCAGGTAGAATTTCAGAGATGGACTACCACCCAGATCTTGGGGCTGGAGAAATGGCTCAGTGGTTAAGAACGCTGACTGCTCTTGCAGCGGAGCTGGGTTTGATTCCCAGCACCCACGTGGTGGCTAACAACTGTCCATAACTCCAGTTCCAGGGGATTCAATGCCTTCTTCTGACATCCATGGGCATTGTACAACACAGGTACATTTACATACATGGAGGCAATACATTCATACACATAAAAATAATAAGCTGGGCATGGTGACACACGCCTGTAGTCCCAGCACTTGGGAGGCAGAGGAGGCAAATCTCTGTGAGTTCAAAGGTAGCCTGGTCTATATAGTGAGTTCCAGGACAGCTGGGGCTACCCAGAGTAATAATAATAATAATAATTTAAAAACAAATACCAAGCAGGTCTTGACAGAAAATTTCAATGATAGGGTAAGGTATTTCTGTTTGTTTTTGCTTTGAATATACAGTGTAGCTGTAAGTCATCAACATCATGTTCCTCTGATTGTTAAGAGGAAAACACAAAAGCTGGGCATGGTGGCTCATGGTTGTAACTCATCACTCTGTAGGATGAGGCAGGAGGACTGCTATGAAGGAAAGAAGAAAGGATGGGAGGGAAGAAAGGAAAAAAGGAAAGAGAAAGAGAAAAGAAATTCACACAAGAATTTGAGTTATTTGTGACGTAACTAGCATACTCTTGGCTAGTAAGTTGTATTTTTTTAAAGATTTTATTTATTTTTATTTTATGTGTATGAGTGTTTTGCCTGCATGTATGTCAGTGCACTCATGTTGTGCAATGCCCTCAGGGGCCAGAAGAATGCATCAGATCCCCTAGAACTGAAGTTACAACTGGTTATTAGCCATCATGTGTGTGCTGGGAATAAAACCTGGGTCCTCTCCTCTGAGAGCAGTCAGTGCTCTTAGCCACTGAGCCATCTCTCCAGTCCTTGGTTGTGGCTTTTTAGTGTTTGTTTTCACTTTGGAAAATATCCTTTAAAACTGTCAGTAGGCCTTAGACCAACTTGAAGTCTGCTGAAGTTTTTGTCTAATCTTCCCATTCCACTCCAGCAAAAATTATCACAATTTGTTTTTGTTTTTCTAGATGTTTTCCCAAAGCCTGAAGTGCAGCTTATTTTCCAGTTTTTCAATACAAAAGCAAAATGAATGAAAGCAAGTATACAGAGAAAGAGAAAAGGCCTAAATTAGTCACATCTATGTGAGAATTGTAGGGCCTAGAACTCAGGGCCTCA